CTACATGCCCACAAAGTTTCAACCATATACGTTTGCCTTTTTCGCTATTGAAAAAACATGTTTGGAAAACCCTACGCACCCAAAAGCTATGGCAGGAGGGGGATGCACCATGAAAGCTGAATACTCCCTTAACTCAATAATAATAATATCATATCGCCTATACGTGTGCCAAGTTTCACCTTTCCATTTTTGTCCAATTCGCCATGACAAATTTTTTTTTAAACGTCGCCCCTCGAAAAAATCCCCTAAGAGATTCAGCTAAGTTTCAGCATGTAAAGAATGCAAGAATAATTTCTTTAGCAGAAAATTTTGGAAAACTCCACCGAGACCTCCTCTGCTAATGAAACATGCACTAAGAGAACGAAATATGAGGATATTTGAGTTCAGGTTTAATGCACCCAAAAAATTTGAACTAAGACAGGCGAAAGAAAATGCTTGCTATATCTCATGCCGTGAAATTCCCTTTCAATTTTTCAAGGGTGATGGAGCATGAATATTGTTGACACATTGGGAGATTCTGCAGACAAGAAGTTGGCTACAGAATATGGAGTTTCCTGTTTTACAAAGAAATATTGTATGTGCAATAATTCCCACAATTGCGTCATTGTGTTTGTATGAGTGTGATAAAGAGTCTCATCGCCTTCCTTGCTTTTATTATTTATCCCATTGTTCTTGATTACCGTCAAACTTTCTTTCATTCCTTTTATTAACCTCCCTATCCATTCATAAAAATACCTCAAGTTCATGATTGCACAAACTCTTTATTCTAGAATTCAGTCCCAGCGTATTCGTTCAGAAATGTGAAGAAAAAATGTGGTTCTTCATGAATCCGTTGCGGAACAATTGCTAATCCGGATTTTGGCTTCATGTTGCAAACTCCTACTGTATCTTGAAAAGGCTCCATTTCCTTCATGAAAGCTAATCCGACTGCCTTCAGCCCCCTTTCGGGATATGTACCCCGTTCCAACCCATCGGACATCTACAATGCCTCAGAGCTTCCCTGATGCCCAGAAGTACAGCCCCCTCCACGATAAATTATTCATTTAACATTTCGGGAACATTTTCTGTCTTGGACCATGCGATTCCTCCCTTGTCTACCCGGTTCGGGATCCCGAATACCGTAATAAAATTCATGTTGTAAGGGGTTCTATGACCACATCCAATGAGATGGTTATATTGAGAGCATTTATTGATGAAACGATTGATATCGGGAGCATGCCACTCTGTCGTTCCTCCGATCGGTCAGTCGTCTTCTCTCGCATACTTAACAATTTGTGAGGTTTTTTCTCAATGACTTCATTTCCACTATTAACACAATGACATGAAAAAATGTTGATAATGTCCACAGATTGAGAATTAATATGGAAATCACACAACTAGAATATGCATAGGGTATACACGTGGAGAATATGTATGGAGTTGACACATCGAAAATTAGTACGGGTTTCATATATAAAGAATCTGTAGGTTTTCACACAATGGGAATAAGTATGGAATTCACGAATTGAGAATATGTATGGATCGACATGGGATACATGGATCGAAAATGTCCATAGTTCTCAAATCCCGGAGATGCATGAGGTTGACGCATCGAGAATAAGTATGCAGTTTAGCAATAGAGAATAAGTATTTAATTCACTAATTGAAACTATGTATGGAATTCATGCATTGAGAATATGTATGGAGGCAACGCATTGTAGATATATATGGGGTTCACACATCAAGAATAAGGATGGGGTTCACGCACTATTTCCTGAAAGTTGAACATATGCATCGTGATGAGAGCATCGCTGATATGTATTGATATTACCTCTCATTAAAAAAACCTTTCGGTTAAAGCAAATGCGCTAAAAAGTGACGACATGCATTTGCATAAAGCAAATCTGTATCTCATGAGTCTAATTACTCCCCTTCTTTGTGACAGAAATTGAATGTGAATAGTCACAATATATTAACACATTGCGTTAATGAAAATATCGACTCGGTATTGAGATCCTGCAGAAAAATTTACGTAAAGTATTGTATCTACGTAAAGTATTGCTGTTGCACTTAGTACTGTAGTACTCAGTATTTTAGTATTCGGAACTCTATTACTCATTACTGTAATATTTAGTACTAAATGACTTGGTATTACGAGGGTGATTGAAGTCATTCGTGGATTTTTTGTTTGGAGCATATATTTGCAATGCAATAACTTCCAAGCTCAAGATGCATCTGCACATCATCGCCCTCAATGGCATAAAATATTTCAAGGATTGAAATCACTTTCCTCCCAGGGGCTCCTTCGGGGCCTAAAAAGATTTTTAATTCCTCGTTGCGAAATCCGGTTTGCCGGGTGGGTGTGCGAGAGACTCCTTGGCTGAGAGTTGGCAATTTTGTCGCGGTTTCTCCGTCTGTGCTTGTTCGAGCCTGGACAGCTGGGAGAGTATGGGATGATGATGAAAGATCCTTGAGGCTGAAATACAAAATAACGTGAATTATACCGGAGTAATTCAGAAAACTGAAGCCATGAGCTTGCTCTGCCCAATGTTTCCAGCACACCTTTGCGCCCAGCTTTAACTAATATATATCACTTAAACGCAGCCGGTTTTTGGAGTTCTCCTTCGCCGGAAGGGGCTCTCATTCGCTAGTGAATCTCCCTTGGTTTGTTGCCTTCCTTAACCACGAAATTGATCTCATTTCTCTGCTCAAGAAATTCATTTCAATGACTTCTGTACCATTTCACCGAATAGACAACACACGATGTCCACGACAATTTTCATCACAGAACTTCGTTTCTTGAGATCCACGTTATCAATCAATAAGCATAACTTACGACTTTCTAAAAAAGTGCAGCCTCTAAAGAATAAAATCCGCGAGTGACTTGAACCACCATCGGGAAATATTTATTATTCCTCCCTGGAGATATAGAAGTGACCATGAGTGCATCTATTTTAAAGTGGAGTATTAGAAAAAAAAACCACTTTTCTTCGAATTTAAACTGACCCATAATATGGGCTACCACATGTGCTGCTACTCCATCTCACTCCCCCCCTCAGCCCTCTTGAGCGGTTTCATTCTGACATTGACATCCTTCTGGCAGGATTTTACTCGAAACTCGGTTTCTGTCTTGAGAAAAAATTAAGGGAACAATGGGGTATCTCAGCCTTGCCCTTCTGCTGGCCTTCTTATGCGTGTCGGCTCCAGGTACATGTTTTTGAGTGTGGGAGCTCTGGCAGACCCTGTGTAATGCTGTTAACGCGACGATATTTCGACATTCGAACGTCACGAGACAGAACCTCGTCTCGTTACGAGGCGCTACCATCTAGTCTAGACGAGAACGACTGTCACTGAATACGCCCTATGAGGTAATTGCTCGTCTTCCGCGAGAGAGAATGCAATTTGAAAAGCATAACACAGTTCACGGTGTGACGTATAAACACTTGCACTTGAGACGCTAGAGTAAGGTGCATCGAGAGTCTCCAAGTTTTTCGTAGTCCAAGTAGGAATCTTCCAAACAGATCATCATTCAATGGCGAAACGTCTTGCGACCAAGGATCGGATAAGTCGGTCGAGGGACTCGTATAAAGAGACGAGGGAGATGCCGAGGAACATACCAAGGCAACCCCCGAATTCCCCCACCGCCTGGATGAGATCGTAGGCCTCCTTCTCGACTAGAACTTCCACGATATCCTCAGAGAAATAGATAAGAATATAGCCATTATTGTCGAAAGCGCGATCCGGAGGCCACACGTTCACCGAGTAGCGGAGGCGATGGCATGGTGGCGGGCAGGAGCAATTCAAAACGGACTGGTTCACATTTGTCGACAAACGATGATAGGTGCGGGTATGATTCACGATTTCCCCCATGTTATCGCACACCGGCAAAGACTCGTTCATCGACGGAAGTGGACACGGCAATTGAGGGAAGATCCATTCCGATTGGCATGTGTCTATGCACTGCAGGAAGAAAGCTAAGAAATAGTATGCGGTCGTGAAACTCATGTGATGAAACCCATTCCTTACCTTGTCTCTGCTGTATCCATCCGTGGACTCGCAGGGATAGTTGTGAGTGTTGAGTTGATGGACTTCTTCGGCCGAGAGGATCACATGGTTATACGTTCCGGGCTTCACCCTGACCGTAGAATAAGAAGACCTTAGGTACAAGGCGGCCCATCCCAGGTCTCGATGGATGTGTACTTCATAGGGCACTGTGACAATTTCTTCTTTCCACAATGGGTTTCCGAATTTGAGGCGATAGCCGGAGCGTTCCCCTCCGAATCCCATGCTTATATTGGGATGGAATGTGTAACATAGGCTCAATTCGTAATTCTTTGAACTATCTTCTCCCTTGTTGACGAATAATGTGGATCGCCATTCTCCAACTGCTCCAAGGAAAGTAGTTCAACATTCCGCGCATCGTGAAACGCTCTCCTGACGAATCGTAAGATATTCATAGATATTCAGATTCGACGTACAAAAAAACATTCGTTCGAATTGCGGGTCGAGAGAGAAAAGCAAAGGAAGACATAAGCATGTCAGGAGGCACTAGGACCAAAGGGGACACCCTATGATGAATGAGAGGAGAGTGGGAGTGAAGAACGAAACATGTGGCGGTGCTTCCTCTACTGTATTTTGAACCCTCTACTCCCCGAAAGTCTAAAAATAACTTTCCTCATACATTCATTGATCTCCTTCCCCCCTCAATAAAGGGGCAGAGTCGCCCGTGGGTTCGGGGTGGCCGGTTTGATTGACGCTTCCCACTTCTCACCCTCATTTGGCTGGTGCCGCATAGATCCGACAGCCCGCGATTCCAACGGATGCACTCTATAATAATATAATATAATAATATATATCTTCCCATGGATATATCTAACCTTGAAAGGGCCTGATCAGTCTTATTTGATATGAACATGGAACTTGACATGGTCTTGGCATGGAACTCTATACTATGCAAAATCACTCTTGCAGTCCGAAACCTATCATGAAACTATACATTTCTTTCTCGAATGCTCGGAGATTTATGACTTGCCTTCGCTGTGGTAGATGTCACTCCAACGTGATCCTCCAATTGCTAAACAATCCCCACCAAATCCAATATTGCATTTTTGAATAGTTTCTTTTGCAGGGAATCCAAAACGTTCGGCGAATGCGGAGAAGTTCAAGTTGTAGTTTGATGTCAGTTCCTCTTCACTTTCCTTGAAAGATGGCGTTGGACAGACGGTGATTTTTGGTGCAGGAAAAATCTTTCGTTCGTCCAACCGATAGGTCGTCGACGTCGGCTTACTTCGGTATCGCACCAAGTACTGCAGCGCCTGTTAAGTTTAATTCATAGTCAGAACAAGGTACTCGCCAGTGTACAGAATGGGATTCTCACTTGATGTGTAGAGAGGAGCATTGCGAAGGAATAGACGAGACAGGTTAGAGTCATGCTTCTCTGCATTTTCTGAGGAACTTCTTTCGAGCTCNCCAAGGATCGGATAAGTCGGTCGAGGGACTCGTATAAAGAGACGAGGGAGATGCCGAGGAACATACCAAGGCAACCCCCGAATTCCCCCACCGCCTGGATGAGATCGTAGGCCTCCTTCTCGACTAGAACTTCCACGATATCCTCAGAGAAATAGATAAGAATATAGCCATTATTGTCGAAAGCGCGATCCGGAGGCCACACGTTCACCGAGTAGCGGAGGCGATGGCATGGTGGCGGGCAGGAGCAATTCAAAACGGACTGGTTCACATTTGTCGACAAACGATGATAGGTGCGGGTATGATTCACGATTTCCCCCATGTTATCGCACACCGGCAAAGACTCGTTCATCGACGGAAGTGGACACGGCAATTGAGGGAAGATCCATTCCGATTGGCATGTGTCTATGCACTGCAGGAAGAAAGCTAAGAAATAGTATGCGGTCGTGAAACTCATGTGATGAAACCCATTCCTTACCTTGTCTCTGCTGTATCCATCCGTGGACTCGCAGGGATAGTTGTGAGTGTTGAGTTGATGGACTTCTTCGGCCGAGAGGATCACATGGTTATTCGTTCCGGGCTTCACCCTGACCGTAGTATAAGAAGACCTTAGGTACAAGGCGGCCCATCCCAGGTCTCGATGGATGTGTACTTCATAGGGCACTGTGCCAATTTCTTCTTTCCACAATGGGTTTCCGAATTTGAGGCGATAGCCGGAGCGTTCCCCTCCGAATCCCATGCTTATATTGGGATGGAATGTGTAACATAGGCTCAATTCGTAATTCTTTGAACTATCTTCTCCCTTGTTGATGAATAATGTGGATCGCCATTTTCCAACTGCTCCAAGGAAAGTAGTTGAACATTCCGCGCATCGTGAAACGCTCTCCTGACGAATCGTAAGATACGCATAGATATTCAGATTCGACGTACAAAAAAGATTCGTTCGAATTGCGGGTCGAGAGAGAAAAGCAAAGGAAGACATAAGCATGTCAGGAGGCACTAGGACCAAAGGGGACACCCTATGATAAATGAGAGGAGAGTGGGAGCGAAGAAGGAAACATGTGGCGGTGCTTCCTCTACTGTATTTTCAACCCTCTACTCCCCGAAAGTCTAAAAATAACTTTCCTCATACATTCATTGATCTCCTTCCCCCCTCAATAAAGGGGCAGAGTCGCCCGTGGGTTCGGGGGTGGCCGGTTTGATTGACGCTTCCCACTTCTCACCCTCATTTGGCCGGTGCCGCATGGATCCGACGACCCGCGATTCGAACGGATGGACTATATAATAATATAATATAATAATACATATCTTCCCATGGATATATCTTACCTTGAAAGGGCCTGATCAGTCTTATTTGATATGAACATGGAACTTGACATGGTCTTGACATGGAACTCTTTACTGGGCAAAATCACTCTTGCAGTCCGAAACCTATCATGAAACTATGCATTTCTTTCTCGAATGCTCGGAGATTTATGACTTGCCTTCGCTGTGGTAGATGTCACTCCAACGTGATCCTCCAATTGCTAAACAATCCCCACCAAATCCAATATTGCATTTTTGAATAGTTTCATTTGCAGGGAATCCAAAACGTTCGGCGAATGCGGAGAAGTTCAAGTTGTAGTTTGAAGTCAGTTCCTCTTCACTTTCCTTGAAAGATGGCGTTGGACAGACGGTGATTTTTGGTACAGGAAAACTCTTTCGTTCGTCCAACCGATAGGTCGTCGACGTCGGCTTACTTCGGTATCGCACCAAGTACTGCAGCGCCTGTTAAGTTTAATTCATAGTCAGACGTTCCATGAGCGGTCACATGTCTTACCCTAAGAGTGAACTACACATCTCTCCTCGTAACGCTTCCTTATCTGCTCTGTCCAATCTCAGTACGAAGAGACGTAAAAGACTCCTTGAAGAAAGCTCGAGATCTTTGACATGCGATTGCGAAAATGAGGCTGAGAGTCGTTCGCAGAGGAAGGACTGGTACTAGACAGCTCTCTATTTTTCTGTATTATAGACTTCCGAAGTCAGGATCAGGGTCGCAACTATGGTGTGTCGATTCAATTGCTTTCTTGTAGTCGGGCCTGTGTGATGAGTATAGAATTCGAAGCTGAAGACACATTTTTCTACAAATAATTTGAGCGAAAAAATCAGATATGTTCAATTGACTTTTGATAGCGTAAGTGGGACATGAGACTTCGCCTATTTATAAATATAACTAGATTTAACATAAGAATTCATTAAAGAATACCTTGAGCGTTTGGGGAGTGCTTTCATTATTTTCATGTCTATATTTTGGCACAAGCACTACCATGGAGTCCCTTTCTCTAACTCTACCTGATGCTACATACGTTTCCCCTTGAAAAAATACGTGAATCTTGAGTAAAGCTCATAGCGTTTTACAATAAGGGGTCCGGTCGCATCTTGAGACACCCAAGATCGGCAACATATAAGAAAAGTTCCCCAAAGTGCCATGCATGAAATTTTGAAATATTGAATTTCCCCGGTCCACGCCAGGTACTTCATCTAGTATACGATAAAAGTAAATACCAGATGCTCCACGACACCAATCTCTATTATAGGTCAAGTCACGGAAATGCAAATCTATTCGAAAATTAGCATCATCCGTCTATTTCGTCAATAGAGTCGAACTGATTTAGAGCAATGGAATGGAACTCGTGGAAGTAACCCATCCGCATCAAAAGCGACATATTTTTACGCCTCGTCCAATGTCCTTCCGCCTAGCCAATGACCAGGAAATGTAGAGGCTTGGGGCACGCGTCGGGCTAAGGTGGTTTGATTCCAGGCCCGACATGCTAAAAGTCGGTCGTTGCAGATGGGTTCAAGCACGAAATCGTCGAAACCTTGCGAGCTTGAAACTGAACCAGGATGCATGGAGTTTCAGTTGCGACCTCGACGTATGTTATTTAAACGTGTTTAGAAAAGCATAAACTGTGAAAATCGAAACCGTCTTCAGGCAGGAGTTCAAAATTTCATCGAGAGTGACGTGATGGAATTACGAAAATCGAAGTCCATCATTGGAGGAAAAGCATTTCTAAGCTCTCGACGAACCCAAAAAAAAGTCACAAATGTCGAGCGAGTGACTTCATTCTCCTTCTGCCTCAAGAGCAACCAAGGAATTCACGAAACAACAGTTTCTTGGCTAGGAGTCTCGACAAAAGAGGGTTGTGCTATCGTGAAGCGTTCTTTTCGAGAATGAATATACACTGGGGAGATTCAAGGTAACTACGCTGCAATGTTTACACCGCAATAGGAGAGGCTTGCACAGAATTTATTCATTGTCCCCTCGTGACTCAAATTTGGGATCGTGTTCGAGGGTGGAATTTGGTCGACTGCCATCGTAGTCGCAGATTGCCAATGCCTCTTCTCATACCTCACACACCCAACCTGTTTCCCTCGGACTACGCGAGCCCGATACGAGTATGGGGAGCGTATCTTGTGGCTCCCTCGGCGGCATGCTGGATATCATTTCTGTTTGGTGGGGCCATATGGCAGTCGAAAATGATTTTTTCCTTCTAAAAAGGAGATGAAGTGGATTTTAATGAGAAGGAACTTCGTGGAAAATATGAGTCGATTCTGAGAAGTCATTCAGCAGACCATTTCGATTTGACATCATCCCCTTATTCCGAAGCAACCCTGGTGCTTTCGACATCGAGAGTGGAAATGACTTCCACAAAAATACCTTCCATGTTCAAATTTACCGGTTTAAGTCTTTCCTATACTCAGCCTCGCTGTCGATTGCAGACAAAATCTATAATAGGGTGTCGGGCAATAAAAAGAAACAACTCTCTCAGGGCAGACATGGGTAATACTTCATATCGCTGGCTGCTATTTGATGCCAGGTTCAAATGATTGAACTGCAATTTTCTGCGCATGTGAAACTTTGAATATTGAACTTACGAACGAAATGCGACATGCGTTCAAAAGTGGAATTTGTTTCCTCCTGATCTTTCGATGTTGACACTTGCTATGGCAGTAGAAGGTTTCGTCCCCACGTGATCCTTCCCTTGGGAGAGACTTTTCATGTCGCATTAAAAAAAAGTCATTCAGATGGAATAAAATAAAGCTTCGGAGAACAAGGATAAGATCAAGTTGTTGAGGCTGGATCCTGGTGCTTCTGGACATACTTTAATCTTTATAGGCTGAAAAGTAAGTATAATTATCGCTAAAAGTATTGCCAGAGCGCCTAATAGAGTTGTCTTAGTGAATATATTTTTCATTTCATCGTTTTACAATCCATACTTTGTGAAGAATTCATTTTTCTCCGAAAGCTAGCGTGCGTTTGCACTTAACATTTAAATACCCCCAGTTAAATACCGGTCGTGCAGCAACACAAGGGCATTTAAATGCCGTACGATGATTGTTAAACGATGGCGTTCGACGGGCGGTGATTTCGGGAGCTTGGAAACTCTGTCACTCCTCTAGTCATCGTCGGCCTTCTTTGGTATCGCAGCAAGTACTCCAGTTAGATCCGATCGTCGCAAAGCGATATTCCCACGAGTCGGTACTTAGGACACTCACCGGAACCGTCGTAAGGTGAACTGCTCAGGAATAAACGAGACGAGTTAGAATCCTGTTTCTTTTCCCTGCCGAAGGAACTTCTCACGAACCCATTCTGAGTGGTGGATGCAAGAATGCAACTGACAGATATGCATGTAGAAAAGGATGTACGTCGAAAAGGGGGGGGGGGGTTGTTGCAGCTGTCCCTATATCTTCCCCTGCACTTTGCGCTGTCGTATGCGCTGATCAGACGATCAAAGGCGTTGGATAGCGTGTCTTCAAGCGAAGACGTATGCATTTTATCCCCTGTTCCCTACTCGAAGGTTCTGAATGGAATATTGAAGCAGAACTCCTTCCTTTCAGCTTGGAAGCAACCTGTCATGCTTTCATCGTTTCTATGGAAATCGAGATAAAACGGTATTCTCGCTGTCGATTCCAGACAAAATGTAGAATGGGGTGTCGGGTTATGAAAAAAATCTCTCTTAGAGCGCACATGAGTAATTCTTCATATCGCTGGCAAATATTTCATGATGATTGAACTGGGATTTTCTGCGTATGAGAAACATTGAATATTGAAATTACGAACTTCATGCGACATGTGTTGAAAAGTGAAATTTGTCTCATCTCAGATCTCCTCGATCGCTCGATGCTTGGGTTGGCAGTAGAAGATTTCGTTCCCATGGGAGAGACTTTTGATGTCACATTTAGATAACATGTCAATAAGATGGATTCAAAAAGCTTAGGAGAACTAAGGTGGGATGAGGTGGTTGAGGCTGGACCTTCTTTAACCTTTACAGGCCGAAAGGTAAGTATGCTTATCCCTAAGAGTATTGCCAGAGCGGTAAATGGAGTTTTCTTTATGAATATGGTTTTCATTTCATCGTTTTGAAATTGACTGTTTATAAGGAATTAATATTTCTCCGAAAGATTGCGGGCTTTTGCACTTCACATTTAAGTACCAACAGTTAAATACCGGTCGTGAAGCAACACAGGAGGATTTAAATACAGCACGATAATGGTTAAACGATTGCGTTGGGCTGACGGTGATTTCGGGAACTTTGAAACTGTCGTTCCTCTATTAGATAATAGTCATTGTCGGCGTTCTGTGGTATCGCAAATACTCCAATGCGATCCAACCGTCGCAAAGCGATATTCCCACGGTTGCGGAAAAAGAGGAGACTCACATGAACCGTCGTGAGGAGGACTGCGCAGGAATAGCCGAGA